ATGTGTCTTGTTCACAATAAAAATAGTTTAAAAAGAGAAATATGTAATAGCAAATATAAATGTTAATATCTTACATAATGAAGGTATTTTACAAGATATGTTCAAAACACATAATTTTTAAAATGTGTGTGTCTAGACACATAGACACACACAGAGCAGACACAGAGTAAAAACACAGGAAAGATTCATGTCAGAATGCTAACAATGGACATCTCTGCATTTTACATAGAATGCATACTATTTTATAACCAAGAAACTCTTCATTAAATATTATTTAATGAAATTAGCACTTGTAGAGGGTGTTGTCCTCTGTAGAGAAGACTGATTGGATTATTTATACTGTGTTGTTCAAGGAAGGATTTAAAGCTGCTTTGTATGCAGTAAATAACATTTTGAGCAAAAGACATGTATGCATTCACATAGAGACACTTCAGGCAATGGTGTGGTTATTAACAAAACATACCTTAGCTGCAGGGAGAATAATGGAAATTACCCAACAATTTTTTAATCCTAGACTGCTTCCTGAATTCAATAGTTCTTTTATATTTCAACACAAAAAAGAACAGCATTTTTATGTAGCTGGTAAAAGGAACACTGCAGTTTGATTTTTTTTAAAAAGGGAATATTGTCTGAGGCCATGGAATTTGGTCAAAATGCTTGACATCCCATGGCTTCAATTTTCTATGAAAAAAGCAACAATGCCTACCTCGCAGGTTGTCTGGAGTGTAACGTGATATCATATAAATGCTCAAATGGGGGTACTTGTATACCTGCCTTGTAGAACTGATTTCTGGGAAGTGTTGGAAAGGCAGTTTCATTTTGATTTCATAGCGGCGGGGGGGTGGTGGGGGTGGGGAGGCTCTCCATTTCAGATTTGTGCGTAGGTGTGTAGGAAGGTGGGAGCGAGGGAGGGTGGATGCATTGCTTTCATAGAAGACCTTCCCTGACCAGTACTCTGCATCATTAACCACGTAGAGCCAGTGTTCCATTGCACTCTTTCACAGACTTAGAGAGGCTGTAACTGGGAGGTCTCCAAGTCTCTTGGTTTGTAGGAGTATCCTGCTTCACGTCCCTTTAATTGGTTTACTGCTTTCTGAGTCCCAGAAATAATATTTATTTTGCTCAGAGAATTTTGAGCTCAGTAGGGTGTAGACATTTAAGCTTCCCAGATTCTGTAGCAAAAGGAACTTGAAAATTAAGTAATGGTACTTACTTTTTTATGGTCTTTTTTCCAGAGGTTGGGTATTTGAGAAGAGGAGGAACATAAAATGTGTGGTATCTTCTTCCTTAAGATTCTGTTTTTTTAAGTCTCCACCTGGGAACTTGAGGACTTCCTCCTTGTATGAAAGTTGCATTGCCACAAAGTCTGTGCCTCAGCTCTGCTCTTAGTCTCTGCAGCACTCATGAAACCCTCTGATGTTCATTTTCTCTAATATCCTTCAGGTTACTGAGTATCTTAGCTGGATGGATTTGTGGACACGTTAAGTTAAATTTTGAATGGGGAGCTGGTGTATTGCCTTGTCGTATACCTGGCATTTGAAGAGTCCTGAATGCAACATAAAATGAGAGTACGTAGTACCCCATCAGTATTTAAAGTCTATATGGAAAAATCATATACACCCCCCTGCCCCCCAATTTATGATCTCTGGGCACATCAACTTGGTGACACAGCGACAAGCAGAGGGACAATGTTAAGGAAGCCAAACATAGTACCTACCAGTTAAGAGAATTAGAACTCTTTCCACGTATTGCACCCCATGCACGTGCCGTCATGACGGAGTACCCTTTCTCATTCTGCCTCCATTATGGCTCCTTCTTCCAGGGCACATAGACACCTGGGTGGGTTTGTTTCTTCTTTTTGAAGGTTTAAAAAAAAAAAAAAAAGGCATATATTATTACTCAGAAGAAGTATGGAGGGTGCTCAGTGCAATTCATGGTTGCTTGAGCAGCTCAACAGTGTTCTCAAGGACCTGGGCTTTTTCCATCGTCTCTGCTGATGCTCATTGTTTCGGCTCTGACCTCGTGCTTGTTCCCCGCTGCTGCAACATGACTGCTACTGCTCATGCAGACACTTACACGTGACTCGGGCAACATTTTACATAGCCAGTCTAGGGGTCCACCGGCTTGCTCTTCTTTTCCCAGACAGCTGCAGGGTGAGGTGCTTAGTCTGGGAGGGCAGCATGGGAAAAAAGACAAAACTGAGTTTTGAAGAGGTTTTAAATAATATATCTTGGGCATTTGTACAAAATAAGTGACTGTATTTTTGAACATGTAAATTTAAAACACGTATACGCTAGTGACGCATATAGGCTCCAAAGCCAATGTAGTCTTGAAATATGTGAGATTCAGAGTGTGATTTGCTTCACTAGATCCCTAAAAAATATGTTGGTACTTGACAGTGTTCCAATTTTTGCCTTTTGTGTTTTTTTTTTTTTTTTGCATGTACATGTTGAAAGTCTGTAAGTCAATTACTTAATGTTTCCTTTAATGTTTTTTTAAAATTTTTGATGGCATATTTCTCCTTATGCATGACCTTGGGACATTATAAGATGCTCAGTGAATACTGCTGACTGATTGTGGTACTCAAGATAGACTTTTTAGTTATATATTGTCTTTTTCTCCCCTCTTCTTTGGTTAAAAGCCATATTCCTTGCGAACCTACTGATTGTTGAATTTATTCCAAAACTCCTGCCCTCTTAGCCAGTCAAATCAAACACTGGGAGGTTGCAGTGGGAGAAGGGCAGATGTGGGAAGCCCTTCATGGCTGTACCCCTGAAGACTGTGATGGCTCTCTCCACTTGCCTCTTTCCCTTTGGTATATCAGAATTAACACTCTGGAGGAAAGTAACAAGTAATATACACTGGAGTCAATCAATGTCTCCGTCGCAGTAATACTTTCCTGCCCTTTAAGGTGTGAGGCTTTTTCAGAACACTCTTCTAGAAGCTTAGCACATAGAGGAACAAACACGTAGTCTGATTGGCAAAAACCCAGCAAATGACATTCAGCCCTATACAGCTTTGTCTTGTCACCCAAACCCAAAGCATTTTGGACCCAGGTCTGTCTGTCTTTGTTACTATGTTAAGTAGATCATTTACTCTATGTCGAGACCAGTTTTTACCTCTTCCTGGAATCTTCTCTCTAACCCCTCTGGCCATTGAGAAAATGGGTTACTCCATAGGCTGTGTCCACAGCTTCAGCTGAATTGAATTCTAAGCAGTTTTAAAGGTAGTTTCCTGGATACAGACATGATCTCATCCTCCATTTTTACAGTACCCTCAACTCCTGAACATCTTATCATGCTGAAGTCTTTATTCCTGGGTTTATTTCTCCAGCTGTCTCTTACCCTTCCCATTTTTGGTGTCCACATGTACACTTTTGTTTTATTCACAGTTTTGTTTCCTCCTCATTAGTCATTGGTCATTGCTCATTGGTCCCCAACTTGCCTATACAAGCACATTTATTTCCATTATATTTTCTGATACTTAGAGACTAATATTTTGTTTATCACTAAATGGCTAACCTAACTATATTTTGCAGTATAATGAGGAGATGTGTATTTATTGCACATAAATATCTAACATATTGACTTATTCAGTAGCTTATAAAGATTTGGGGTTAATTTTGCCATTTTTTTTTTTTTTTTCCCAGAAGTTGGTTGTCAGAAACCCTACCTGGGGCATGTGATTTCCTATGAAGTTCACGCAAGCCAGGAATAATAGGAAGATGTTAGAATTGGCTCTTTCAAAGAACGGTTTCTAGTTTTAAGGGGAAATTGAAAAAAATTGGATTACAATGAGTTTATAATTTTATTCAATCATTACTTAGGGCTTTTGAGTTATTGAAACGGTTCTTTAGTAACTATCAGTTTTCCTTGATGAATGTTTATCGTGGTTTTGTTTTTGTTTTTGTTATTTTTTCTTGGTAATCTGATAAGAACGAAAAGTAGTTAGAAGCCAAATCTATGTTGGTATACAGAAGACGACAACACTGTGGCAGCAAGTAAAGAAATATGGTGTCATTGTTATTTCACACTCTCCAAATTACCTGTGATGAGCTTAAGAGGTTTCATTCATGCATAGAAAATTTTTAATTATTCATAGTGCTTTGGTGTACTATAAAAGTCGAATTATTAACACTGTAATTTGTTCAGATAGCATTTAGTAGGAAAATATATCAGAAATAATTAATTGTTCTCAAGATATGATAAGGTAGATCTATCTACAGAGGGCAATCAAAAAGAGTAGCAGTAGGATATTGATTGCTTTTTAGAGAAAAAAAAAATTCTGTTCCATTTCTCAATGTTAACAATTGTGAGAGGAAAATTCCCACTTGGGAAGAATGTTTTCCAGGTTGCTTCACTGCCAGGTGTTTGACATTGTGTGGAGTCTTAGATGAATAAGGCTTATGGCAGTCTTTGGGAATGACGGACTCCAAGGACCTCGGCTTTCTGCTGTGCAGACCTCTGTTTTCAGCCCTGCTAGTGTCTGTAATAATGTTCCGGTGGTTTCTCAGTGCTACTTCCGGTGAAGACTAAAGTTTGTTCCCCTGACTCCAAGATAGCTGCGGAAGAGGATACGCGTCCACTAACAAAATAAATTTAGGATGTTGCCAGTATGTGAACTGCACATTCTGCACTGTTCATGGGGTTTCACCCTTACCATTTACTGATGGAAATACACCTTGCCTCCTTTTAGTCTCCTTTAACATAGCTACGTGCTGCAGATTAGGATTCATAATCATTCTAAAGTTAAAAAACATCTAAATTGTATGATAGTTTGCTGTGAGGCCATCCATATTTTTTCCTTTCCCTTTTTCTCTCTCCTTGACCTAGCAGCAGGAAGCCTTTGTTTGAGGTGTTCATCTGGAACAACTTTTCCACACTTGTTTTCATGTTCTGTTAGATTACAGGGCAGCAGGCCTACCTTTGAAGCTCCTTTCTCTTTTGTTTCTTTGCCGTGCACTCCAGTAATTAACTTTGTCCTTCTTTTATTTGTTCCAGTCAATCGCAGGCCACTCTGCTGAGCATCTTCTCCCAGGAGTACCAGGTTAGAAGTTTTCTCCTTTGTGAGGGTTGACAGGTGCCTAATTGAATGATGAATGTCCCTTTATTTCTTTGTAATTGAACTGCCAGCTCTCTGATTGGGTTGGAGGATGTTCTCCTTTCCACATCGAGCACCGCCTGCGTCTCAGTGGAGGCCTGCCAAGCCTACCCATCCATCTGTCTAATAACATCTAGCCTTTGCTTATTTGGTGGACCTGTAATAAATTATGCTAAACCATTATTATTCTGACAATAATAATTTCCCTGTGTTGCGTGGTTCCATGTGCTAAATGTTTGCTGACTTGCACTGTCAGTGCCGCTTTCCATTGCTGACAGAGATGATGATAAATGACCATTGCTGGAGTGGCAGAAGGCAAGAGAGGCAGAAAATGGAGTCATTTATCATGAGATGACAGGTGTCAGTCAAGTGGCAAGTCTCTATGGAATTACTTTTTGTAGTTTTCAAATAAGTTGTTTTTAAGCAATGTTCTTCCTGGTTAAAAATGGCAATTGGATTGTAAAACTAGAGTGCAGAGGACTTAGATGGAATTGAATTGAGGGAAAATTAATACAAAGGTTGAAAGAGGGAACAAGTTTTTCTTTGCCCTCTGCAACCCTAAGCAAACTTATTTAGATTCAATTACTGTGACCCCGTTGGCTTTTACATGTATACTGTACCTTGTGGTACGGTCTGAAGACATCCCAGCCAAGCAGCAGGGATTAAAATGCATAGCTTCATAGAGTAGAAGGCAAAAAGACCCACCGCCACCCAGATCCCCAAACTATTATTCAGCTGGCCCTATGTGCTAGACATTGGGATGAAGGAATACGTCTTTCTGCTCTTGAACCTGATGTGTGACACAACATAAAGATCTTTTTTGTTTTGTTTCAGAAACATATCAAAAGAACACATGCCAAACATCATACTTCAGAGGCGATCGAAAGTTATTATCAGAGGTATGACCTGCCTGCCCCACTAGAGGGTATCATAGCACCTATTAATTGTAATAATAATTATGAATAAATTAGGTTACTAGATTAATTGTCTGTATAACATTCCAAGGCGTTGTGATATAAGTCTTACTTAAGACTTCAGGTATATCTTTGAGTGATTTCTCAAATGCTATGTTTGAAGAATATGGTGAGACTGTCTTGATTGGGTGTATGTGCGTATACTGTGTAAGAAATCCTTACAGTATTATGAAATCTCAGTTGGCTACTTTAAACTTGCTCTAAGTGTGTATCTTGTATAGATGCGTACGTCAACGTGCACATATCTACATATATGTGTGAAAGTTCTCAAACTAAGTTTTATTTCTTACTTAGATCAGCAAGTCAAAAAATATATTCGAAAATAAGATTGAATTTGGTTGCACTTCTATTTGCATTTGGTTGCACACTCATAGGTACTGGGCTTGCCATTTTAGAATTAAAAAAAGACATGTCAAGTAAGGACGTATGACGATGTGTAATATACAACTGTCACATTTTAAGTGGGGTTTTGTATTTTAAAAAGAAAATCTGGATATTAAATCAACAACGTGGTGTCTAGGGGATATTTTAATTTCAGCCTAGTTTATTATAAATAGTTTTCAACTTCTCTTCTAAAACAGAATCTTTAAAATATCTCTTTTAAAAAGATTCTAAAAAGGTTATTGTCTTTGTGATATGACTGAATAATTTACAACCATAAATGGTAATGGATTACATTAGAATCGTTGGTTGGTTTCTTAAATATTTCAAGGACATATTGGAAAGGAAGACTGTCTGAAATATGCTCTTAAGGTATTACACTTAAGATTGACAGATCAACGTGTCTGTGGTGAGAGTGACACCACCAATTTTAGACGAATGATTTTATGCACGAATATTTTATGAATGAAATGAATGTCTAGATTCAGTGTTGGTATCATGTTTCTGTAAAGTCATTTTTTAAGAACTGAGAAGTGTTTATTAAAAAGTTATTGAAGTTATCCTTTTAAAAAATTACACACTATACCATATATTAGAGTTACGTTCAGTGTTCAGTAGTGGCATCCACTAAAGATACACACACCGCATGCATACACACACTTTTGTGTCTAGGAGAATTCCCCTCTAAACAAGTCTTTGTAAAGTTTGAGTTGATTTTTTTCAACAATTATACCCTCCTCAGTGACACCAACAGTTAACGTTAGAACCTTAATCATCAATAAAAACTGAAGAATGGCTCCCAAAGTGCTATGAAGTCAGCAAGTGCTTTGGAATCCAGTTGGAATCCATACTCTCCAAAGGAAGACTGGACAGTTACTTCCATGTCAAAAAGTACATTTTTGTTTGTAAAAGTTACTGTCTTAGGCCATCATATAAAAGTACGACATGTCCAGTCTTTAAAGCCTTGTTGACATAAGCAGTAGAAAATAGAGCATTCCCTAGAAATTTGGAGATCCACCAGTAGGCTGCGGGGCTGTCCTCTGACGATCATTTTCATTGTTGTAAAAGGCCATTTTAATTAGATGATTGCTGAGATCTCTAAGTGCTGCTTTTTAACATTTAGCTTCATTTAAAAGTACATTTAATTATCAAAGTATGAACATGTTGTATTGGATTATCTGAGTCACTCAAGCCAGAAATAAAAGTCTTCCCTGTAAATATGGTTACTCAGTGATGCACAGTTGAGTGAGCAATAATGAGAATATATTTGTATTTCTTTAAATTATTTAAACGTGAGAATCTCAGTTGTTTCAAGGAGTCACAACATTTTGAAACAAAACTGTGAGATTTGGGCTATAATGGACAGACTAATAAGAAAGCAGCCTCACCAGTTTCTTACTTTACCCCCCTGCTTCCTGACTTTCTGCCCTGTACTCTGTGCTTGGAGATGGGCTATATTGTCACCTTTCAGACATATTGACCTTACAGGCCCCTTGTCAATGTGATGGTTAAATGTCCCTGTATTCTCTGAGGTAAATTGGCCTTAAATGATTTCTGTTTTCCAGTTGATTGTGATAAAGGCAAATTGTGTTATATCAAGACATATTTAAGCAGTTTGACAATGTTAACACTTTCTTTGATTCCTTTTCTTTGAAAAAAGTAATACTCGCACATTATAGAAATTAAACACATTTGTGATGGTCTCAAAAGGAATGAGTGATTGCCCATAATTGTGGCAGCCAGAGATAACCACAGTGGTATTTTTCATTCTAGCCTTTTGTCAATCCATTTTCATATAGATGAGGTCATACTGTATATGCTATTGTGAATCCTGAATTTTATACTTAGAAAAATGTTTATGACATAATATTACTCTGTAGAGAGCTTTTTGCAAACATTTATTGATTGCATTACCTCATCATGTGAAAGTGTCGAAATTTACTGAATTATAACTCTGTTGAACATATATGTTTTCAGTGTTGTAATATAAAAATAATACCGTGGTAAACATTTTGGTACGTAAGTATTTGCGTTTTGGATTAGTTTTCTAAGATTTCTATATATGTAATTACTGGTACAATGAGCATATAAGGATTTTATTTTATGTTCCCAAATTGCTGTCTACAAAGATTGTGATGGCTTCCTACTAGCACTGTCAGAGAATTTCTGTGTCTCTGCATTCTTGCTAGTGTTGAGATGATCTCAATTCAGAACTTGAAGTCTGTATTTATAAGCCATATAATAATCCACCATGTGATTCCATCATGGTTAACTGAAAATTCAAAGTATCCAAATATCAGCCGACAATATTTTCTCAAGCTTTTGAATTATTGAGGAAATTTCCTCAATTCTTCATGTTGTGTATGTGCAGACACAGCTTCTGTGTTCATTTTGAAAATAACTCTGTTCTTTCTCCCTGTGTGAACGGCATGTTATTTCCAAACAGAAAACATACCTGGCAAAATTTATTTCGTTCCATCTAAATTGTTGCACATGGGCTTGGTGTGCACTCACAGAGACACATTCACCAGTGGTCATATTTGCAAGTCCCCATCAGTAGCAAGGTTCAGAAATGTTGTCTCCTCTCTTTTCCCTTCTCCCAGCACACACTGTTTGAGGGCCAGCTGTATGAGCTTTAGAGAATTAGATCAATTGAATTTCATTCAGCTGTTCACACGGAAAAAAGGCTAGCTCAAATATGTTATCGACATTACGTGACATAAATAGTTTCTGAAAATTTGAACCACTTTTTTTATTTAATTAGCACAATTTACTTCGCACTCCCTGTGTCTCATCTACTATGCCAGGAATCAAGGATACAGGTGTGCATAAGACATGGTGCCTGCCCTCAACTGCTCTGTTTTAGTGGGAAAACAGCTGCATGCGTGGAGATGGGCTCCAGAAATTTTAAAGGTAGAATCAACAAAGGTGACACTCAGCCGTAAGCTTCAGATAGAATTTTGGTAGGTTTTGAAGTTCTACCACTATAATTATTATTATGAAAATAATAAAGATCAAATAACTTTGCCTTTAATATTTTAAATCTGTACATGTTATTTTCATCTTAGATGCTAATGAATCTTTCACACTCAAAGAAACATAAAATGGACCTTCTATGAAGATCTTGGGAGGATGGTTTCACCCACAAGATAAACACTTCTTGGTCCTCCTCTGGCAAAGCTAGAGGATGACACATCGCTTCTGTGCAAACTAGTTTTAATTTGCAAATAGGTATTAGGAAGATGGCCCAGGTCACCTTAATGTGGTATTCAGAATCCCATCCTTCTGTCTCAATTATAATGCAGCTCTTTGCTAAGGATCTGTTGGATGAAGGTTCAGCATCTGTTTGTGTAGGTCTCTCTCAAGGAGGTTCCTGTCTAAGTGGAGAGAGAAACATACCATTATAAAGGTATGAAAAGTCTACACTGCACGTTTGCACAAGATACTTTGGGGATGCAGAGAAGGGTAGCACTAGGAATTTCTGATCATGTCCTTACTGAATGTTTTCTGTAATTAGCATGCCCCTGTGATGGCATATCGAAACATTTGAATAAAATGTGTCACTTGAGGACAGTTAAAGTTCCCAGAAAGGACAACTACAACTTCAAAGTAATTTTCACTTAATTTCTTTTCCCTGGTACTCCTGAAGTGCTGCAGGATAGAGTTAGGAAACAGGCTGGAGAATAAATATGGTCAGAATCAGCTCCACCCTTTTCAACATATGAAGGCACCTCAGTAGACCTTGGCAGATAGGGTTCCATTTCAGACCTTTACTGTTTACTGGTTGAGGGAGCCCAGATGGGTTACATCAGTACCCTGGGGGTTTTGTTTCTTGGCAACTAGGTCGCGTAAGCCCATAATTAGGAATGTCCACTGTATTAAGAGTGAACATGTTTCTTTTTTTTTTTTTTAATTTTTTTTTTTCAATGTTTATTTATTTTTGGGACAGAGAGAGACAGAGCATGAACGGGGGAGGGGCAGAGAGAGAGGGAGACACAGAATCGGAAACAGGCTCCAGGCTCCAAGCCATCGGCCCAGAGCCTGACGCGGGGCCCGAACTCACGGACTGCGAGATCGTGACCTGGCTGAAGTCGGACGCTTAACCGACTGCGCCACCCAGGCGCCCCAAGAGTGAACATGTTTCTATACAGATATAGTGGGTTATTGTTTGACCATCTCCTGTTTCTTTAAACCTAATGGACGTTCTCCATTGGTCATTACCAGGATAATGGTTAATGCAGCATTTACATAAAACATATAATTTTGAGTGCAAACAGTTCTCTGGCATAGGCAGTGGTCTGAGGTCTAGCTGTTCTTTGTCATTATTCCCTATCAGCTCTCAAAGCTCTGCTGTGGTCACACTAGAACCTTTCCCGGTCCTCAGACACCCCAGGCATATTCCTGACTTTGCACTTAGGGTTCTCTTGCTGAGAATATTCTTCCTCCCATGGCCTGCTGCTTTCTTTCTTAGGAGCCTCTACCTAAGTGTCACTCCCTTAGAGATGGGCATTCTGACCAACCCATCTAAGTTTACATTTTATCGTAGTATATAACATTAAATTATTACATTACATTATTTCTGTGTTCTCACTGTTTGTCTCTCCACTGAAATATAATCTCTGTGATGGCAGGAACCATGGACGTTTTGTTCCCGGCTGCTTCCTCAGAACCTGGAATAGGCCCAACATGAGTTATCTCTCACAAGTATTTGTGGGATAAATGAATGTTAGGTAGAAAGTTATAAAGATATCCTAATACCAGTGTAGGGTTAACTAATCTGACCCGAAATCTGAACCCTTAAAGAATGTGCGTGTTTGGTGGTTATGAATACTGGATTAGTTGGTCAGACTTGACTGAACTGTTTTGGTTGTTCCTTGAGCAGGCCTGTGAGTGCAATGAAATTGTGAGTTGTGTGACATTCTGAGCTAAACTGTTTCCCAGAGACCTTTCTCTAAACTGCATTTGCTACCTTTTTTTTTTTTTGTCTTTTTTTTCTGAAAGTGCTTATTTCACAATTAGATTCCTAAATAATTTTTTCAAGAAAGTCCCCAATATATGGGAAATGAACTTACTAAATTTATTTTGAAGTTTTAAAAATTTTTTTTTTTTTTCAACGTTTATTTATTTTTTTGGGACAGAGAGAGAGACAGAGCATGAACGGGGGAGGGGCAGAGAGAGAGGGAGACACAGAATCGGAAACAGGCTCCAGGCTCTGAGCCATCAGCCCAGAGCCTGACGCGGGGCTCGAACTCACGGACCGCGAGATCGTGACCTGGCTGAAGTCGGACGCTTAACCGACTGCGCCACCCAGGCGCCCCTATTTTGAAGTTTTAATGATCCTGAGACTCCCTACCTTGAATAATTTGCTTTTATTCCATTTATTTTATAGAAAAATCATACATCTTCACAAACATATTTGTGAAATAACATAATTTAGTATATTCTTATGTTAGTTATATGGGAGCTCTCATATGTTGAGTTTGATTTCTACTATCAAACAAATATTGTTAATTTATTCACTCAAATGGCATATTCTAGAGAAAATATCCATACTAATTCTCTTCTCTTGTCCAATATGGCTGTTGAAAGTTATTAAATCAGTCATTTATTGAAGAAAAAAATATATGTGTATAATGCAATCACCTATTATAAGCCAAGAACTGTTCTAGGCATAATAAATTGAATAAAATACAATTGCTCTATTCTCTTTGGGCTTTCACCCTTACACTGGGGAATGGGTTGAGGTAAACAGGTAACTAGGCAGATACAATATGCTCTGTTAAGTAATGGAGAGATGTACAAGGAGCTCATCGATTGTACCTTGGGACACCTAACTTACTCCTAGCTTGTGGTAGATTGAAGACAGTTAAATGTAAGCTGAATCATGAGTTCTCCAGGTGAAGGCTGGAGTGCAGAACAATGACTAGAGATGAAGCTGGCCAAGGACAGTAGGTGGGAACCAGATCATGAAGACGTTTACAAGAGGTCTTGAGTGATTATAATTTAATCTTGAGATTTAATGTGGGAAAATGGCACATCCAAAGTTTTATTTACAAATAAAATCATTCTGGCTTCCATGTCTAGGATGGATTTGGAGAGGTTTTGTTGTTGTTGTTGTTGTTGTTGTTGTTATTTTTTTAGCTAGGTTAGGGAATGGGAGGGATAGAGGTTATGACAGAAATGCAGGGCAGATAAGGTGATGGCTTGTATTGCCTAACAAGGTGTGCTGACCCACCGATGACAAGTCTGTTCCATTTGTTTCTTAATAAGGTGTCAGCCAGTGCTGTGAAACAAAATAAAAAGGTGTGATGGGTGCATGGATGCCTTTTTTTCAAACCATAAGAGCAAACTTATTTCCTTTCCATAACGTGATTGAGGTATAATAAAGCCAGGGTGTTAGGGACAGTTCTTTTTGAAATCGCTTCCTTGTCCCATGTTAGGAGATGAAAACAGGGGAGACCGATGCGCTCATACTTCGTGCCCCCAACTTCAGTTAGTTAGTTGCCAGTGGTTTTGAGGTGAGTTGTTTTTGTTTTCCTTTTCCCTTTAATGCTTTCCTATGACAGTAACGTACTTTAACTAGAGTTGAGCGTGGCATTTGCCCAGGAGAAACGTGTACACACAGGGGATGCTGACAAGTCTATGCTGGCCTTTTCTTGTCACTACATTACCACTTGGCTTTGTCTGTCTAGGTACCTGAATGGAGTGGGAAGAAATGGAGCTGCCCCAGTGCTCCTGGAGCTGGCCAATGAGGTAATGTTATTGTTACTATTTTACTTAAACCTGCCGAAAACCTAAGGGGCCTATCTAGAGTAGCTTTGCTTAGAATTATAATTAACCTTAAAAAAAGAGATTTTGAGGTGCATTAGACACTTAAATTGCTCCCCGGTCTCTTTGTAGTTTTAATAATTGGACAAAGAACTTCATATATTAATAAGTCAGTTCACATAATTAGTCTCCTTCTTTTAAGGCAAATGTATAAACAGCTTCTTGGTTTCTTTGCGGGAAATTTCAACCAAGCAGCTCAAGACATGCTCTTCTCTGGATGTGTTGTCTTAATTTAGTGTGAGAAATACCTGTGTAAAGTGAAGAGATGTATGGCCGAGAAAATCTGTGCTATTATGAAAATAAAGAGAGACATTGTTTACTTAAAACTGTAATGTTTACTTGATTTTTTTTTTGTTAGCAAACTTTTATAATGATAAAAGATACATGCCTTATACAAAAGTCTCTTTATATGAAGAAGCATACTGTTGTTCGTAACACCAAATATAAAGTGATTTATTGAACTTACTTGTTAACTCTGATCTCTTTCTGTTTGGGGAAACAAATAATAGTCTTACATTTAGAAAAGGAAACCCTAAAGATTTCCCATGAATGAAGAAGCTGTGAGAAGCTCATAATAGTGGCCGAGAGCATACCAAAGAATAAAATATTTAATCCCTAAACTTTGAAATATTTATCTGCTGTAATGAGAGCAATACAAGATTTAGTCTCACTTGGAGCTGCTTATGCAAACCTCACAGGGGCGGAATGCAGTGTGCAGTGGTTTTGTGTTGTGTTATAATGGGCAACATAGCAGCAAGGCAGAGAATGCGTGTGTGCATTAAAGATGACTCAGTGCTGCACGCATTAAGTGCTGTGGCAGCAGCGAGTTGTACTTGCTACATGGGCAAGGAAGGATGGCTTCTCTCGCAGCTTCTGTCTGCTCTGCACCACCACAGTCAGCAAATGAGCAATTACCTATCATTTACTAGAAGGTTTTAATAGTTTGAGGCAGTGTCTACACAATCTGATAGGATAGTTAACATATAAAATGCACTTCTCTTCCTTGCAAACCATACTTTTTCTGTTTCTAAAGCAAGGTGGTTTTTAAATGTCTTCAGACTTGTTTGTTACGAGTTGATTCTATTCACAACTTGAGGTATCTGTGCTGTAGGAATTCAGTGATCGTCCCTTATGAAAAGAAAGAGTGAGCTAACAGCGTCTAGAAAGAACATGATGCAAGCATGGTACTCATTGTTATAGATGATGATACTGCTGGCATACATAAGTTTTACATAGTAGCAGTTTACATTCATTTGAATGTTTAGTGGATATTTCCATTGAGCCTTGCTTATCTGGCTGACCTCAAGTTCCATCTTCTAGTAATACGGAAAATTTTTAGCCACTAACACATTTTTCTCCTGTATCGGTAAAGCTGTTATTTACCATGAATATATAGAATACTTAGCCAAAGAAAATAAAGAGTCGTTAAAGACTTTTTTTCTCTCTCTCCCTTGGCTGCAGATTAGTACAGAGATAATAGCACTTTCTGATTGACTGCTACTGCATTAGGGAAATTTGGGAATAACTCGGACCAGATTATGGCTTCTAAACAACTCAAGCTGCCATTTTTATATGACAGTTAAGGCTTAAAGGACATATGCTTGCATCTGGTGACAATTGATGTGATGGTAATGCTTTATGAGTCAATATATATTTAATCAGTGGAAACTGTAAAAATTGATGAGAAATATATGACATTGGTACATTACAGTGCGTAGTAGCTCTCTTAAACAGGCGCACTGTATTGTTGACTTGGGCAGGGACTCGATGTGGTCATCGTCGATTTTACAAATATCTTAATACTAATTTTCCTATTTCAAGGCTAGAAATGACCATTTTAGGAAATCTCATTTTGTTAGTAATAATAAGATCAGTCATTCTGTTCTCTCCACACAAATATTTTCAAGTGAGATTTGAAGCACTATGAATTTTACTTACATGCTAAATTCTGACATGAAGCATGATGGCCCTATTTCAGAGAAAGATGGACACATGATTAATATGAAAATTAGGGAGATGCAAGTACCTGAACTAATAAGGTAGTCCTTATTCAGGCTGGACTACCTTCAGTAATTTCACCATTTTTCATGTGTCAGCTCTGATGTGGGTTACTAGGAATAAGCAGCTTCGTGGAAAGCATTTCTTTCTACTTGGGGAATTTAAGGGCATCCAAGTACATACATATTTGAAAAAACTGTTCATACAAATGAAGCCAGCCTTTTTGTCTAGTTACTAAATCAAGATAAAATTTTGGTATGAACACAGAACTTGAAAAACTGTCAAGAAATGTCATGGTTATAACATAGGAGGAACATTTGCTATCTACACCTAACATAAAAAGGCTCGTTTTAGGGGAGCGTTAGTGCTCTTGAAAAATACACGCCTGTTTTCTGGTGAAATTAAATCAATGGTTAATAAAAGATCTGAGAACCAAAAAGAAAACAGTATGTTTCCAAATGAGTAGATGCATTTTTAGCTAATTAAAATGACTGTTGGATTGAGTATTCCTGTTTTCTGTTTGATCCTATAGAATAAAAGTTATCTCCTTGGGTTCTTTATTCACTAAATTGATAGGTAACATTTCAGATAAGCCTAAGGATGGTGATCTTACAGTACAGGGATTGTTGTTTGTTATTGTTAACATCTCTACAGTATTGAATGAGATATTAAACAAGACATTTTATATGTAAGGAACACTTATACCAAAACTTTGGTTAAGTCTTTAAAGATAAAATAAACTGAAATCAGTAAAATCCGTATTTTTAATGGCAAAGGACATTTAAGACAATTTCTGAAAACCATCACTAGCCGAAGGGTTTATTTATTTATTTTTTGAAATTTCATTCAAAACAATGTAAATATTTCATTGGAAGGAAAGGAGAATAGCTAGAATAAAAAGTAATATTGGACTACCAGTGGGAAAAAAGTGAGGAGAGGTGAGAACAGTCCATTTCACTGTTTTCAATGAATATTCTTTCCAAGTCGTTCCATCCTTTTGCTCCAATCTTATACTCAGTAGATTTGACCCACGTACCGTTTTCAACAGCACAGATCATACTTGTTATAATTTTGTTATGATGGGAGCCACCAAGAGTGGGAAAGATTTTAATGAATGATGTTTGCTGTGGTTGATTAAAATCAGCTTAATCTTCAGTGTTGACAAAATACTGGAATATCAACTGCTTGCACAACTTGACAGTTTTAATTTTCTACTTCTGTTTTATAAAGGTGGACTATGCACCCTCATTAATGGCTCGGATTATACTAGAGAGGTTTCTACAAGAGCACGAAGAAACTCCAC